GGGATGAGCGTGGAGCCCCCACCCACCGGCCCGCCCGCTGGCCGGCCAGACAGGCCGGGCGGGACAGAGGGACGGACGGACCGACGGGGAAGGCGTCTGGATTTGGGTCCCACTCACTCCTCCCTAACCCCCCTCGACCAGGGCACAGCGACTTCTGGACGCAGCGCGCTCCCCAGTAATCCCTCCGACGACGACGCAGACAGAAACCTGCAAGGGGAGGAGGAGGAGGAAGAGGAGAGTCAGGGCGTGGCCTCGCTGGGCCCCAGCCAGCCTTGGCCCTGGTGCGGGCCACGAACGCATCACCTGGCAGTCTCCATGTTCGCTTAGACCCCGTAGAAGGCCGCCAGTCTCTCCTTGAGCAGCGGCGGGGGGCCTGCCAGTTCTCCTCCCCGACTTGGCCTTTGAAGCCGTGGAGAATCTGTGCGGAGGGAAGGGGGGCGCGGGGGTGAGGGGCCGCCGGAGCAGAGCCGCAGGGCGACTTCCCCATCGTATCGTGGGCCGGGAGCCTCACCTTATAAAACATGTCCCGAAGGTCATCCTTCGGGCTCACCCAGGAGGCTACAGCGTCGCAGAAGAAAATAAAGTCCTGAAACGTGATGGATCCCATGAGAGGGGCGGCCCGAGCCCAGCCCCCGCGCCCCCGCTCAGAGTCCAGCGGCCCCCACCTGCACGACGCCCCCGGGGTTGACGCCGATCATCATGCAGATGCCGCGGAAGGCCGAGTCCTTCTCTTCGTTGTCCCTGATGTTACGGAGGGACGTGCACCTGTGGAAGGCAGGCCGCGGGTCAGAGGGCACGATGTGCACCTGTGGAGGTCGAGGCGCGCGGGCAGTGGGGGATCCAGGTGCCCTGCAGGGTGGGGGGGTACATGCAGGCAGAGCGGCAGCCAGGCAGCTGGGGCGGGGACAGCACGGCAGGGCACGCACCAAGGCCGGATGAACTGCTGCAGCATGGGAGCCACCTCCTGCGGGCACACGTAGCCCAGGCGGCCGATGGTGATGGCTGAAATGGCAGAAGGACACGTCAGTTGACCTGCAACCCCGAGCGGCCCTGGGACGGTACATGGCGGGGTCTTGGGCACTAGGCGCCGAGCCCCGCCCCAGGGGCCCCAGGAGTATGGCTCCTGCGACCCATCTGGGCTCCCCTGAGGTGGACCCCGCCAGGGCCCTACCCTTAGCCCCACCTGGATCTCTTCCTAGGGAATCCAGGCCCCCACTCGGGTCCGCTCTCTATGCTTTTACCAAGGCCCTTACCTAACCCACATCCCAGCCCAGAGCCCCCCTCCAGGTGGCAGGAGGGCGGGCAGCGGCAGCCCAGATCTGGCCCACCTGTGTTTTCCAGCAGCGTCTTGGGAGTGTTGGGCCGGTTAATGATCTCCACCAGGTTGTTGAGGACCATCTGTACGTAAGGTTGCATCTCCGCCCCTGGAAGACCAGCCAGTCAGGGCCCTGCACTGGCCAGCCCGGCTCTAAGGTGACCCACAGGCAGACTCCACAGCCCAGCCTCCCTGGGGAAAAGCACCTGACCAATCCCAATGGGCCTTTCAGTCAATGGCCTGGAGGGGGCAACAGTCCAATCAGGACAGCTGTCCCAGTCTGCTTCACTGGGGAAGCCAATCACAAATGGCCTTTCATCCACTTGGCCCCACCCCTGAGAAAAAGAGGCTGGTTGACAGCCTTTGGGCCAATCAGAGGCTTCCATGGTGGAGAACTGTCAGTAAGAACCAGGCCCGCGACTAAGGGCACTGCCTGTCTACCTAGTGGGGGGCTCACCCATCTGCATGCAGATCTCCCCGATGGCCCAGGTGGCATTGTTGCAGACGGAGATGAACTCGGGGTTCAGGTTGGTGCCCAGGATGGGCATGAACTCGGCTGGTGGGGAGAGGAAGGGGTGCTGAGCAGGAGGGCTGGCCAGGGGGAGCTCGGAGGCCGCGGGGCAGGCCCCATCAGACAGTACGAATACATCCCATTGCGGTCATGGACCTCCCTGGGTATTTCTGCATCACTTGAGGCCAGGGCTGGGGTCACCATTCAGGACAAGGAGAGGGTCTTACCAATACAGGGCTTGACGTGGATGAAGCAGGCTTTGGTGAGGTCTCCCAGGAGGGCGAAGGAACTCTGCCGGACCTCAGGCATCGAGTCCTAGGGTCGGAGACACATTGGCATGGCGGGACTGCAGTCCCCCAGCCAGGGTGGCTGAAAGCACACACCCTCACCCTTAACGACCCTCACCCCTGGCTCTGTGCTTCTCAGACAACACTGCTGGGGTCACGGGTAGGGGGATTAGGCATGTCTGCTACCATTTTTCTTTAAGAATTATTTTATTTAACTTTATTAATTAATTACTTTTAACTTGATCAGAGGAGGACAGAGACAGAGAGAATGAGAAAGGAAGTCACCAGGTCTGGGACTCAAACTGCAGAACCACGGTCAGCCATGCGGGAGGTCCAGCACCCTTAACCACCATGCCACCTGCCGGCCCCTGTTGTTATTATTTTTCAATTGACCAGAGACGGAGAGCGAAAAAGGGAAAGTGAGAAAGCAAGCCACCAGGTCTGGGACTCAAACCACGGTTGGCCATGTGAGAACCCAGCACCTTTAACCACCAGGCCGCCTGCCACCATACACCCTGCATGATTTTCGAGCATTCAGGTTTGGAAGTAGGCGATGGGGCTCTGGCACGCTGAC